ACTTTAGTGAAGTCCATAAGCATGTGTTTGGTGCAGACAAACCAAGAATCATGATCAAATCAATCTGGGATTCGAATCCATGATAAGAAGATCCTGGCAAAACTAGGGGATGCAACTCAGCACAAGAAATCACAGAGACACATGCCCCTAGATATTTACAGAAAGGATAGATCCAGAAATTTTGAAAATGGAGTCCAAAATTGATAGCAAACATTTCAAAAAGAAGGATATGTATCTGTATTGAGACAATCACAGTTATATAGTTTGCATGTTTAACGCCACACCCAGCATTATTCATAGACAAACCTAGAAACATAATCAAGGCAAACCGGGATTGATTGTGTAATTGTTTTTTGTAGTTTAACACCGCACTCAGCACTATTCTAGCTATATCAAGTATGAACCAGACAAACCACTGTTTGACATCATTAGCATCGATCTACGCAACTGGGATACAATGACATGCCTCTTGCGACACGCATGGGTTGCTGAAGACCAATTCTAACCTGGATCTTCACAGCACCAGACTCAAACCCACAATCAGAGGTACCTGGAATCATTTCTGGCATGCCCAAAAGAATTGCAGCGCCTTGATAACTGGGCCACCATGCCCCCTCCATCTTCCCGAGGCAAGGGAGTTAACTGACTATAAAAGTCCAGTTTCCACCCTTGCCAAACTAGGCAGGAACTATGGTGTTACAATTTGGCTGGACTAACGGGTCTATACATATTCCAATCAAAATCACGCACCAAAATCGAGTTCCGGTTTGTAAACTGTCATGCAGATTTCGGTCGATTGCAGGATTTGCAAAGCATGTGCACAGCCAACTCGTTGTGAACAGATAATTTCCAAGTCTTTTCAAGTTTCTAATCAAGGAGCTCACTTGATTTGATGCACTTCGCAACGTAAGACCTGTTTTATCACAATATAGATCTTGACTATCGATCAGATCGTCTTGACTGGGCGCCGCCGTTTTGTTTGAAATAAATGCAAGTGTTACGAGAGCTGGAATCGGATTGGTCCATAGGAGAGGGTTAAAAGGGACATACCTCGTAATAACCAGTGGTGGTGCAACGATGGAGCCCAGGAATTCAAGCGTAGTTCGGCAAGGGTGGAAACTGGAGTTTTAAAGTCAGTGAACTCCTTGCCTCGGGAAGATGTGCCCCCTCATACAATATTAACCAATATTCTGCTGTCCATTATTTTAAGTTTCCTGGCTTTCTGTTTGTAGATTTTTATAACAGAATAATTACAATGTTTTAATGTCACATAAGTGCAAGTAGATATTTCAATGAAAGTTTTCCTCATAACATAAATCTAAAACAATGGCATCTAATTTCACATATTAAGTGCTTAATGGCAAAAATCATTCATGATCAGTGATTCATGTACAAACCAAACATAATCCCATATTCTAACATCAAGGTGTATGGAAAACTGCTTCTGAACAGCTGTTGTTCGAATGAAATCAAATGACATGTGTTACAGGTTCTCACTAAAAGCTTCTTGCCTGACAGGTGACATTATAAAATTGCCTCTCTGGATCTATAAAAAGAGCAAGACACCTACACACTTCTCAAAAGCCAGGCCAGCAAGTTCTTTTACCACAAGGTTCCATCCTGAATAGAACTGATCAGGATTAATGTTGCTCTTATCATTATTATTAATATCAAGTATTACACTTATAAGTAGTCTGGATCATTTATGGATTTTATGCCATACATGTCAATGTTTTAGTCATGTTATACATGGGTGACACAAAACTTGTAAAAGACCAGGATTTTTTTACAAGATTATCATCTATTTTTTCCATAAAGGAGTAATCTTCCTGGATCCTCAAACAAACAAACGCTGAAAAGGTAATTTGGGCACACATTTATTCAAAACGCAGTCTGCCAAAATGATTATCATCTTTATTTGATATTCATAGTTGTACATTATTTGGAACGCCCCCATCATGTATTCCATATCAGTGTTTTCAAGCCGTTACTGTTTAATCTGAACTGAATCCACATTTAGCTTACTTATTTGGGTGTTGTAGCCTCTGAATGCACATTTAGCTTACTTATTTAGGTGTTGTAGCCTCTGAATACACATTTAGCTTACTTATTTAGGTGTTGTAGCCTCTGAATACACATTTAGCTTACTTATTTAGGTGGTGTAGCCTCTGAATACACATTTAGCTTACTTATTTAGGTGTTGTAGCCTCTGAATACACATTTAGCTTACTTATTTAGGTGTTGTAGCCTCTGAATACACATTTAGCTTACTTATTTAGGTGGTGTAGCCTCTGAATACACATTTAGCTTACTTATTTAGGTGTTGTAGCCTCTGAATACACATTTAGCTTACTTATTTAGGTGTTGTAGCCTCTGAATACACATTTAGCTTACTTATTTAGGTGTTGTAGACATTGGCCTGCATTGGGGGACAAGGAAGTACAAATTTGCCTGCCCAATTTCTGGGTTAGCATGGTCCACAGAAACCTTTGCTGGTCCTAAGACAATATAATGGAATGGGAGGTCAGTAGGGCTGGGACAAGTCCAAAGTTACTACCCGGGTACCCATCCTCCTATAACCCGACCCTCCCCGGGTACCCGCTGTAGGTCTCAAGAGATACGAACAAAATGTCTGATTAGGAAACGTTTGACCATACTCCTGTCAAAATGTATTTAGATACAGGTATAAAATGATCTGGTCATGAACACACTGAAGTTGACTGAAGTTTTATCTTTATGCAAACATATAAAGTCAGAAGGAATGTGTGCATAGTCGGAAAGAAATGTGAACATTTGTCACTTATAGTGTAACCATAGAGTTCTAGATAATTTTTGCAGTTAAACAATATAATCACGTGACTAACCACGGGCCTAGGTAGTTCTGTGGGTACCCGGGTCCTACTCAGTACCCACCCGACCCGAGTTACCCATCCCAGCCCTAGTGGTCAGCCTTGGTTAATTGTGGGTTGTTGTGGATCATAATATCAATGACTGGATTGAAGACCTATTCTACCCCGGATCTTCACAGGTCACCTATGCCTTGTAAAACAATCATGACTCAAGTTGAAGACACATACCCATAGACCCACGATCATGTATTCAGTTCTGATAAAAAATGTGAGGTCATATATTCCTAAACCAACAAGCATATAATACTTGTATCCCCCCCACCTAGGATGCTTTCGTATCCACGTGCAGAGTAAGGTTTGTTAGATCATCTGAATAGGGTCCATCTGAGCTTATACCATGATTTGTTATAAAATGACTGATGGTTGGGGTGAATGTAAAAAATGTAAGATTGTTTCTGAATTGGAACCCAGATGTAACATCACCCAAAAATGCACTGTCTGACATATTTCATGAAAAACGGAAAAATATCAAATGCCCTGATTGGCAAAAGACACCAATTCATCCCGAGGTCTGCACAAACATACATGTGAATAAATATGTAATAGTTTACGAGTTACAGCCAGGAAAAGAACCCTACCCTAAAATGGTCCAACATGTTTCCATGGAAACATGAAAAATGTTAAAAATCTCCAAGTGACAAAAGGCACCATTTCAAAACCTAAGTAATATGTGTACAAAGTTTAGTTAAGAAATATTGAATGGTTTTTAAGTTCTGCTTCGGAAATCAAATGTGACGGACAAACGGCACCCATTCCTGTATCCCCCTCCCACTTCATGGCGGGGGATAATAATAAACCGACACACTGTTAATCAGGTGATGGGCATGTGCCGATACATGAATTCAATAAGGAAAGCTTGGCAAATGCAAAGTTGGGTAAAAGGATGCACAACCACATGCTCACCATCAAATACAAAGAGTTACCAGTACGGTTATGGGGCAGAGTCACCCACACTACCATATCCTAAGACATGAGGGGATGAAAGGTCAAACTGGACTTTAATCAACCATTATCAAATGACATTGATAACCCTAAATTGAGTGTATACTACGTATTACATTGCATAGTCGCGATACGGCTGAAATATTGCAAGAGACTTTTAATTTTAACTCACTCAATTGTTTGATAGGCATTATTTAGAAGTTGACAGATGACAAGGTAGACACAATTTTATGGATAACAACTTCTTTAATACTGTGAAAAGCGACGTTTCAGTATAGATCCTTATACCGCTGTCAAGCTTGCAAGGATCTATACTGCAACGTTGCTTTTCACAGTATTAAAGAAGTTGTTATCCATAAAATTGTGTCTACCTTGTTTAACTCACTCACTCACTAAATTGAGTGAGTAAGATATAGTCATAATTTTGCTGGAATATTACATAAGATCAGAAAGGTCATTCAACTGTAAAGAATTGGCCAAGAAAATCCCATTTACAAAACAACACCTCCACATGCCCACAGCATCTTCATTAAATTACAATTTACTCAATGATAGATGCAGATGTGGCTGAGCAATGGTTGAAATTGACATTTTTTGAAATTATGTCCATCTCTTGCAACACTGAATCAATAATTCAATCCTTATGGTATCAAGGAAGATTCTTGCCATAAAAGCAAATAGCAAAGTGCAAATTTTAAAATTTCTTTGAACACAACATCAATCATTTGTCATCTAACACTGAATTGAGTAAGAAACAGTAATTATCAGACCAAAAACACAACTTTCAATCAGGTATTGTTTGTTTGTTTGCTGTTTAACGCTGCACTCAGCAATATTCCAGCTATATGACGGCTGTCAGTAGTTAATTGAGTCTGGATCAGACAATCCAGTGATTGATATCATGACCATCGATCTATGCAACTGGGATACAATGACATGCATCAACCAAGTCAGCGGGCCTGACCACCCTATCCCGTTAGTCACTTCTTACGACAAGCATAATCGCCTGTTATGGCAAGCATGGGATGCTGAAGACCTTTTCTAACCCGGATCGATTATTTACAGACCCTGTCACAGAGCTGAGTACAGCATTAAACAACAAACAAGCAACCGGGTAGTTTGATGAACAAAGAGAACAAAACACACAAAAAGAAATGCCATTTTATTGAAAATATAAAGTGTAACAAAACACAGAAGTAACAAGGAAATATTTGGCATATATCATATAACAATTCATGGAAGCCAGTGCTTATTCCATATCATTCAACATGGTGGGAACTCACTTGTGGCCATTCTGTACTTTTGGAAGTGTACATTCATTAGGCCATCCTTAAATATATTGGTTCAGGGCAACATGAAGTATAGGAAGTTGTATGAAGATGGTAGGGAGGGAGATGGATGGACTGACACATGGGGATCGCGATATCTGATGGCATGATGCTGGCATAAATTAAACAAAAGTAAACTTGATGGCGTGCGTGGCTGCTTGTACTAGTCCGGACTGATGCCGATTTATAGTGCTAGCCCACTGAGTTACCATGCTGCAGACTAACATGAATACCCCACTCAGACACAGTATACTGACTCTGAGCCGACCAGTCCTTGTTTTAGCCCCTTATGCCAAGCGCCAGACAGGGTAACAAGTACCATCTTTTAAAGTCTTTTGGTATGACACAGCCTGGGATCGAACCTCAGACCTTCTTCTCTCTGGGCAATTGATCTACCACTAGACCACGGAGGCGGTCTTTTCTTAAAATAGAGTCTGAAAGGTCAGGGCTCTGTCCTTCACCCCGAATATTGGTGTTCAAAGACTCAAATACTTCCCCTCATAAACAGCTAATAGAAAAGGTTATATTTGCTTCAGCATCACCGTTTCCATGCTATATCGAGTATATTCTTCACATAACGTACACCACTCATCTGACAGAACACTATGCATGGTATTTTCCACCATGTTGTCACTTGTATTGAATATTGATTTCCCAAATGGACAAAATTTCGGAAATCTATCACCGGGTACTGGTGGAACACTTGCAAATACTGTTATGACAAATAGAAGTGTTTGCATGTATTTGCATAAACACAAGCAGCCTCGCCATTTCCTTTAAAGCTTAAAGTCTTAATGTACTTACATACACTTCCGGTTCAAAAATATTACTTCCAGGATTTAGACTTCATGAAGACAAATTCTTAAGATCCAACAATTACCCAAATCTCAGGATAGTACAAGTGTAAGTACAGTAGCTGGAAAAAAATTATGTTTCACAATAACCTCAAAGATGACCTTGACCTTTGATAAACAGCACCAACATTAGATGTGGTAGGACTTATAAAAATACACATAAACAATCTGATACCAATAATCTTTGTGCATTTGTCAAAAATATCACCGGCAACAGGTCAAATTTTAAAAAAACCTGTTTCATGTTCATGGTGCTGCTAAGTGTACATTGAATATCCAACCAGATGACTACTATCAGATTTCTTTTCTACACTCTAAACTTTACTTCTGTCATGATCAAATACATACCTTTGGCTAAAATGAATGATAGAGGATATCACGCGTGTATGTTTTGGATGGTAAAAAGCCTGTATTAGGAATCAACATTTTATTTAGTGATCTTAAGATTTTGTTAACAATTACTACCCCAGTAATCTGTCCATATCACAGATGGTTAATTCTGACTCAGTTGGAGATAGACAAGGGCAGCATTGTTTCTTTGCCCCTCCCTGACCTTTTATATTTACATATGTATCGGTATGACTCCAACGGATACCGTTATCTGTTTGATTCATCTTGCCGAGAAACCTCCCTAACGATAAATCTTAGTATGAGTAAGTCCATGACCCATGCTCGTGTTATTAACTCAGGTGAGCTAAAATCACTTCCTGAAACCTGAAAACCTGTTATGAGCCTTTGACCAATTTCTGCCTTTCCTATGTAGTGATAAGAGTGCTAAACATTCATTTGTTAAAAGGTGCCAAGCTTAATTCTCATTCATATGAACACATCTGAGAACTTTCATGATCAGTAATTGGTCTCCTCATTTCATAAATGATGCATATCCTGTGGCCCAAAAAGAGTTCTTATCATACCTCGTCCTTTGCCATTTTCGACTTTTTAAAAGCTAAATTACACAAAATGAGGTCAAGGAAATTGACCATGTAATGTGCCAACAACCATCACGCAATTATCTCATGCTTGTGTACATTCAAATTATGACAGTTTCAATGTTTTTCTGTAGAGGAATTGGAATCCAAGTTCATCTCCCTATCCTTAATCATGTTGGACTACCGCTAACCAAAGATCTGAGGACATCCTATTATGGGTCACATCAGGACGACCTTTCGCGAACATTGACCGACCAATGAAATGACTGACAAGAAATCGACATTTGCCAATCAGAAGGCAGCTATCTCGAGCTTTACGGCACTCGTTTCAAGCTGGCGACTATGCTTCGAAACACATTTTGACGTATTCTTGATTAAAACATTTAAAACTGACCAAAACAGCATTCTGGAATGACTTACAGATGGCCTAGATTGTATGGATACAATCATAAAACCCGTAACTGTACCCCATGTTAAATAATTCAAGTTTGCATGATTAGAAAACACATTCCGACTTGTCACTTTCAGGATCTGATAAGCAACGCTATGATTGGTTGGATGAAAGGTCGTGCTGACGTGACCCCTAATGGGATGTCCTCAGATCTTTGTTTAGCGGTAGCGAGAACTAAGATCTGATTTTAATGAGATTGGAACTTAACCATTTGGTAATTTAATTCTAGACATGTTCCAACTAACTTATAATGAAATGGACCATAGTTGGAAAAGAAATTCAGTCTATTTATCATAATGCATATAAACTTATTAACATATACCTCAACTTGTAATCAAACTGCTCAGGTCACGGACTCAAGAAAATATATTGCCATATTAGCCAAGGTACAGAAGATTACATTTCCATATTCTCCATGTCTTGTAGCACAAGACAAGCTAACTTATATGATGTTTGACTTGATTTATTTGTGAAACTACTTCGTTCTTGTATCTCGTATGACAATTTCCCAAATTACTACTAATTGATTACAGCTTTGTATGATCGATTGCTTGTTTTGACACAGCAAACAAACTGACATCGTTCTATACTACTCAAAAGAAGTTAAAGAACACCCGATTCTTTCATGTTACTATAGATAACTAAAGTAATATGAAACAATCGGTGTTCTATTAACCTTTTGAGAAGTATATACATGTATGTAGGAAATCAAATGGGGACAAACACATATATAAAATGTAGGAAAGAGTAGAACCTCTTATACATGACCAGTAAATCTGACCAGCATCAGTTGGTTGACTGAAGTTTCAGCGAGATCAGTTCAACACCTTCTAAAACATTACTTATGTGGGAGAAAAGTCCAAGAGTACAGGCATCAGGGGTAGACACAACTGGTCATATCTAGCCTTTGAAATTCATGCTCTAGTCCGCTAGCCCAAGACTTTTAAATGGTGGGAGCAAGTAAGAATCAAAATATGGTAGACCTCGTTGACTAGTATTACTGTTGTAGCATATGAGGGCTGTAAATCTGAACCAGTTCTCAATGCTTCGATTTTGCTACAAATTGTAAAAATCGAACAGACAGAAAATGTAAATATTTTTGGGTCTTTTTCAAGCAGGACCAGCTACAAACTCGGAGGACCAGTGCAATGTGGTTATCTGGACCAATCGAAGAAAATGAATTTCCAAGGTTGCATTTCAGACTAGTGGTTTATGAAAAGTAACCAGATCTTATGCCAAAACAGTTAGTCTGTCCAGATTGTTACTTGTCTTACACTAGGGCTGAAAGACATAGGATCACTGCAAGGTGATTTGGAAATTCAAACTCAGGACCAGCGGAACCTGACACAATGAATACAGTACCAACTGGGCCACCCATATCCCCAACCCATGAATGCGAATATGAATGCAAAATATTAACTCACATGAAACAGTTGGCCATGTGGCTTTGGCTATAAATCAGGCTAAATGTATGCAAGAGTAGACATCATTGTTCATACCCAGCTAGTTCGCAGCTTAATTCAAACTGGTGATTTATGTAAAATAACTTTCGATGAAAAGAACTAGTCCCTCGAAACGTTCACCTGTCTCAGACAAACTGACTACTGGACAATGTCTATCCATGGTATACAGCAAAGCAGTAAAATGCACTTAGGCCGTTTGTTGTCATTTGTGCAAAGTTTACGTACTATGCTTGAAATATTTTTTCAGAACCACATTCCCGAACAAACCTTGATGGAATTCAAAAAAGTTCACTAATGTTCAAAGACAAAATGTCAGCTTACCCAATCCAATTCAGAGAAGACAATTATTTAGTCTCGCAGCATGTCACATGGCCTCTGTTCAAAATACAGACCTTCTGCACTCAGCTTTAGAGTCAAATCTTATTGGTTAGATCATAAGAAGAACCAAATGAATGCGCACTTTGCAGGTTTACCCTCACATGTAAATGTCAAAGCAAACTTGCTTAGAATCAAAGAAAACTTGCTTAGAATCTTTGAAGGTCAAGTCAAGGTTAGCTGAACAAATAAGTGACAAATCTTGCATCTATTTCGACATAGTGACAACCCTGGTCCAGCCAGCATGCTGATCTGGTCTTTATATGAATGGTATACTGGTAAAGTTAAGTAGCCGTAATATTGCATCTACATCTACTAATTACTATCAAAAGAGAATTTAGTAGACTCCTTTGAATTACTGGTCACATAATTTGTTGTTTTACACTGCTTTCAGTACCATTCGAGCCAAACGATGGTCAACTGTTACTACTCAAGTTTGTTAAATCTGGAGAGGACAATTGTGAATCCAGTGATTGATATCATGAGCGATGAACCAAGTCATCTGCGGCTCAGACCATTAAATCCCCCCTGGGGCCTATTCTAACTGGAATCTCCATTGCGGACCATAAGTTACAATGTGAAGGAAACTTGCCACATTTTGTTGGTAAATAATCATCACAATAACTTGACCTTTAACATGATAATACATACAACAGTAACTAACTGTCAATTTCTTTCCCCAAAACAAATTGTAGTACCCTAAAGACTCCATCGAATATCATGTACAGGCGACTACATCGGATATTGAAATGATGAAAATAGCCACAATTCACTCCATCTACGATTCATAAATTTTGGAAAATTGTGAGGAATCTAAATCATTTCCTTAACATCTGCGTGTAGATGTACCATTTGACCTCTAAAGCCCAGCGACCTTCATCGCGTCACGATCTCTATAACCAGTACATTCGGCATCATGCAAATAGTAAGCAATATGGTAAACTGGTCAATGAACAACACCTACCAATTCCACAGACAAAACTATTTGAGGACCGCACTGTGAATGTAGGTTACATCCTTTACCGGTGTTCGAATATGGTGCAGAAATTCACAATGTTCTTACCATGCTTACGGAACTTTATTTTATACAATGGAAAAGACAACGTAATAATGCTGAAACTTTCCAAGTTGTTTGAATGACATGTCGACCATTTCGAACACTTCACAAATACAATGCTGGACAGTTGTGAAAATCACAAACTTCTTTTTCAATCGGTATTTCAATGATTTTATTCGTCATAACACTTTGTCTTAAAACAGGAATAAGCACTGGGCTTCACAAGATAAAACATTTTTTTTTTATATTTTTTTTCCAAATTTTATAGAAAAAGGAAAGACTGTGGCAAAATGATCCACAAACGTCTAAATAAAAATTGTATAAAAATATGAATATATCATTTCAACAAATAGAGACCGCTGTTAATCATTTTATTCTAGAATTCTTGAAAAAAATGCCCTAGTATGGATGATCATTATGAAATGAACTTAGAATGAGCGCACAATGCGCATGAAGCAACACATGCTGATACAATGTTTTAATTACATTTGCTGCACATTTGCACAATCACTTCTTTCCCTTTTCGTTACTTAACAGGTTAAAAGCTTAAATCTGACAACCGTTCCACTGCTTCGCAAATTAGAGATGTCAATCAATATTCATCGGACAAGGAGAACGGTTCATGTACAACATGTCGGACGCAATCTCGCATTCAGTGTCAATCTTATAGAACACTTGTACATTGTCTCGGAGAGTCTGCATTTTCGGCTCATTCGACATGAACGCAAGTTAGACGCACACAGAGCTTTGGTCAGTTTAAACAACAGTTCAACTATGTCTCTTTTAGGACAAAACGACAACTGGCAGTAGTGTGTATAAAGCCTTATCAAATGAGTAAATTATACACATATTATGTTATATGAAATAAACCTGATGATATGAGGGACTGGTAAATGCAACAATAAAGTTTACCGTTGACAGGCAGAGTTTGGCAATTACTACCTGCTACCCCTCTGGTAATAATGAGCCAGTCCCAAGTTGCTGAATTCGGTCACCTGTTCAATGCCAGTGGTGTAGATTTCATGACCGATGTAAACAACTGACCAAACACAGAACACATCACTACTTATATCTTCTTCAGTCTTCCGATTTCTGCTTTCAGGTGGCTGTTTTCATCTTTCAGGTTTTTTATTTCTTCTTCTATCTTTTTGACACTGACGAGATCGATTGGCTCCTCTCCACTGCTGCTCAACGACTGGCCATCAGAACTGTCCCTGTCCCCTGTTGACCCATCTCGATTGACGCCCTTTGGGTTATGCTGATCAATGTCTTTTGCTAATCGTTCTAATCTCTCAACTTTTCTCTCCATGTCAAGATAGTCTTTGATAAGTTCTTCTTTTGACATCATCTGCAATCTTTCAGCGTGTATGTTGTCATAAGTCTCTGAGAATTCTTTTGCAAGAAACATGTCATCTTCGTCACCGCTGCCACACGGCTCCTCGGAACTTTCACCACTACCGAAAGAACCATCTTTTCCATTCCGTCCAAGTCCAACACCATTGACATCATTTTCTTTACCAATCAAATCAAGGGACACTTCACTTTGGATATGATCGTCAATAAGGAACTGTGTGGTGTTGTAGGGTGCAACGGGATGTCCTGACGCGAACGCTTCTTCACGTTTCATCGTCGCCCGAATGGTCTCGCGCTCTTCTAATTCTTTCCGTTCAGACCATGTTAACTTGTTATAAGGTTTCCACTTACGATGATGTTTGCCACCTTTATGCCTTCCCCTTCTCCGTGGTTTCTTTCTCTGACCTAACGAGTTTTGTTGGTTGTCAGATTCACTCCCTCCCTCTGGCTGTTTATTTTCAACATCGCCATCCGATGTACCGCTCAGCACATCTTCATCGTCTTTCGACATCTTGACAACAGTAGAATTTTCGCAACAAATCTTCTTAGATTCAACATCAACCGTTGAAAATTCCACTTCCATCATACGCACTTGAATCGACTTCGAAATCTATTTTGACAAATACAATACGATGAATTGAAGTTGGCAACTGTAGCATTCTAACCTGACAATCTTACTGCCAGCGGCTTGCTGACTGATAATGTTGAAGAATGCTTAGTGCTTTTATAGCTGAGCAGACGCGTTACCTTCCGCGAGACAAAGTAGTTCCCCGACGAAAAGTGTTCATGTTGTTATGAGTATATAATGACAGATCAGTGGTATGATTAGCTATTTAATGATAATGATACTGCATGCAACGTGTTAATCATGTTTAATTATCGACAGTTAGCATATACTAGTCCATTTACATCTGTGTTTAGGATTTTTCACCGAATCGATCGTAATATTCCTACGACATAGACACCTGGTTCAAGGGAAGTAACTCCAAATTAGTTATGGGTAAAGTGAAATGGCCTGTTGTCAAAAGAAAGTCACTTGACGTGCCCCCGAATACAAATGCCATGTATATATTAATAAAACTAGTTTACCCATGTACGACATGATGTAAAGCATATATAGTATGTATTATTTCCTCCTTACTACTAATTTAGACTGTGAACCTGTAATACTGTGATTACATCTGGAACAAATTAGAATAAAATATATACTGATATATGAATATGCTATATTTTTATTTAGGCTGTGAGCAGTAATTACTTTGACTGCACCTAGAACAAATTCGAATAAAATATATAATGATATATGAATATGCTATATTTTTATTTAGGCTGTGAAAAGTAATTACTTTGACTGCACCTAGAACAAATTCGAATAAAATATATAATGGTTATGAATATGCTATATTTTTATTTAGGCTGTGAACAGTAATTACTTTGATTGCACCTAGAACAAATTCGAATAAAATATATAATGATATATGAATATGCTATATTTTTATTTAGGCTGTGAACAATAATTACTTTGATTACATCTGAAAAATTAACAAATTAGAATAAAATATATAATATTATATGAACATGCTTTATTTTCATTTAGGCTGTGAATAGTAATTACTCTGATTACACCTAGAACAAATTAGAATAAAATTTATAATAATATAAGAATATGTGTTTTTATATATAAAAAAATAAAGTGTTTTTGTTTCCTATAGATAGTTTTAATTTGGGTTTTGTGGGATTGTTTTTGGTTTGGTCTTCATAAGGGGTGGGTTTCGAATTCCGTTTAGAAACAGGAATGACCACTGTTGACTGTTCTAGAATTATTTTTAAAAGCTATGCTTTGATTTCCTCTTTAGAGCACTTTAATTCTTTGCGTAAATTATAGAAACATGGAATGTAAGTACCTTTGGTAACATGGAATTCTTTGCAACAAATATTCAATTGACATCAGTCTATTAATACGTTTTCATCCATATGTACATCCATTATTGTTTTTTTCCGATACACCTGGCGTGAGCCACATTGTGTCCTATCTCTGACAACAGATAGTCGGGACTGTTTTTGTGTCTCCGAACCTTGGTTACGCCCTTTCAAAATGAATGTATTCTTCACATTTTTACTTGTTTGTGGTCTTGTATGATATTGACAAGTGAAACTATGTATGCTTATTCTCGAAAATACACAAAAAATATTGCTATAAGATATTGACAACGGCGCATGACACAGCGATAGCAAAACGGGTTGACGAGTATGTCTTTGCTGAAATTGAAATGTCATGCCGTGTTTTAGGAATAAAGAAGACTTCTAAAGGGTTTATTGTATCTAAAAGTACAGAGCGCGTGTAATAATTTAATTTGATTTAATTGAATAAGACATGAATACTTCAAACCAGTTTAATAGTCTGACATTTACCAGTTAAATATTTTAATCATTGGTATTCATATTCAGCAAAGGAAATTAATAGCTAAACCAAAATAGAGATCTCACGTTTACAAGAGGGATATAGATATTATTATGACATAATTAATTAATTATCGATGTATAAAGTAATGATATATCTTCACCTGAAATAATAAGTTAGGACAGATATGTAAGGATCATAAATAATAACTATTGGCTCTACTAATTAAAGGTTGTAAGTTTCATTCTTTATAAAACTCCAGAAAATATTTAAGTTCGTGTAATATATTAAACCAGAGACTATAAAATAATTATGGTCTCTTGATATTACTCTATAAATTCGGTTCTGGTAATCTGTGCGCTGTACAGATGGTGCTGTAATTTTTTTCAGAATATATTGTTTTAGGAAAACGTTAACTTTTCCATAAAGGTCTTATATATTGTTTGTGCAATATCGCTGACTCCGCATAACTAATTCACGAAGATAAATTACTTTGTCTGCTAATGCATGGTGTTGGAAGTAGGTGTGCGGCTGCTTGTGCGGCAGCTGTTTTCAATATTCATTACGTGCGTTACGATTACCTCCCTTGCAAGCGGAAACTCTGTTATTGTCAATGGCATTATACACTAAATCCATAATGATTTCAAATGATACAAGGTCAGAACCATTTATTAGTTTGGTATTCACCATACCCTTTGAGTAAGTAAAGCACCACACTCCCTCATCTACGTAACGAATGGATGCATGTGTCAAGCATATCGCCATGTTTACATATGGTCGACATTTTGATTCTATAATTGTATCCGGCTCTCTTAATATGACTTTTGTCCTACATCAAACACTGACTTTTCATATCAGCAATATAATAGCAGTTATCCATGTGCACATTACTCATCTGCTAACTTCTTTTGCTTAGATATATCGTCAAATTTACAGAATTCATGACGCGTGACTTATTCGGGTTGATTCTTTTTTTCGCAAAACTCGGCACAGTGTGGTTCCGAAAGCGCCCCCTAAAGTCGATGTTGTGTCTTTCTGTGTCGCGTGGATGTCACGAAAAAAAAGTTTACACATAAGGTCAAAACTAATTGACTTTTTGTTCTTCATAACAGTCTTCATCACATCACCCTCCACCCACACACTAACTATATAATAAACACAAGTAACAATAAATTTTGTCATAGTTTGAAACTATATGAATTGACTGATTCAGCTAGCTGACATTGTCTACACAATGCCTAGCATGTAGCATGAATATGCTGAGGCAATGACTTTCTCGTACAACACAAATACAGAAATAATCATTCCTGTTTTGAAAAAGAATCGTCTTTTTAAATAGTCCTAGTCACCAGAACGATTAAAATGTAAAGGATTTGTGTCAGGAATGCTTGAAAATTACGTCTGTAATTAAATATAAATGAAAAAATTAAGCACCACCGTTCATATTGTAATATTTTGCAGTCGTTATCACCACTTCAGATGTAAAACATACAACATTTATTCAATTTCTACCCTTCATTATATAAGTTTAATACTGTGATGGCATCAGCTAGTGCAGCCACTGTTAACAGGTTAGCTGTCTTCACCTGTAAGGCAATGCGGTTGCGACTTGCGTACATTACATGTTGTACATTAAAATTCCCTCACGCAGTATACGCTGTAATGTAGCGTGAGCCTATAGCCTACACAACTTGATGAATAAAAGATTATCTATCCTAAAAAATACGCAACATAAATGTTAATATAATTCACTTGAACATTATGAATATGGCAGATGAGGCATGATATATCTAAAATACTGTGCACAACAGCGTTAAACCAAACGCGCCCATTCTTAAATCAGCTTGAATATTGAGCACTTCCAAATGTGAATGAGCATCATCATTCACTGATAGCACTTTGATCATTTGAACCTTCTTCTCCCCCCCCCCCCCCCCCCCCCCCCCTTCTTCTTCCTCCTCCTCTTCTTCTTCACCATAGTATACCATTTATCTATCTTATATGTCGCACCCCTCGACCATGTGAATACTACAACGCAGATTTTTTTTTAAAATGGAGAAAAGGGTACTTATATATCCCATTAATTGGACCTCCTTAACTTCTTAACTGAATTAAGCACGTGTTTATGTATTCCAAGTACACAATTGACAGCTAGCCTGTGTTGATAACGATATATACTTTGTATATAAACTAAAATCAGTCGTGCCTGCGTTCCGTTTCATCAATAACTCGTAATCAGTTTAAGCTGACCAATAACAGACCAATATTACTATTTTCGGCAGTATTTATACGAAAATAGTTGACATTGAATCGGATCATTTCTTAATATATCTCCACCCAGTGTTGTGTCCACCTTATACTAGTGTAAGCAAGATAAGTTTAGATCTTATCGGGTCTGTCTTGTTATCAGTAGTGTGGTGCCCTTTGTTTTTGCCATACCAACGTCGAGCTTCAGTTTATGAAAGCTACCGTCCTATATCATATTGAAACGTTGAATAGCATTTTGCTTGAAACAGTTTAATATGTTGTCATGAAAATGGCTTTGATGTGTGTTTATTTATGGCCAACGCTCTCTAAATCTGTGCTGACGAAACACGACCTACTTCCCGCCAATAAATTCCTCATTATAACGCAACATTGCGGTATTAATTATATACAGTGTTAAGTAACATAAAAACGTAAAAACGACCCTTCTTAACGTATATATAAGTAAATTGGGGCTTAGCGTGTGGTATATGTTTTTATGACTGTTATTGACATAAACGCGCTATAATGAAAAACTAGTGATTATAGCTTGTTTCTCAGTTTAGAACGACATAGATCGTGGGATGCACATTGAATGAAATTCAACGCGCCCGGTAGACCAGAAATCTACACAGAACATCTCATTATTGTCTTTCAAATATATTTATTCACTATTAATAGTAATGTTAAGATAGTAATCATATTTTACTTTAAAGGAATAAAGCGACAATGTGTAATGGTTCATGATAGATTCGCATGTTTCGTCAATAGAAACCAGGCGACGAACTTCTGCTTTTTCACATTGTCATTTGTTTACACCATGTGACAACTGCTTGTACTGCTACTTCACGACAGACGCTATACATTAATATCCCCCAATCCTCCCATCTGTGTTTATTGTATATTGTTTATTGCCGCCATCAATCTATATATAGAACCTTGTGCCACATAACTCTCAACCACAAATTGTGAAACGCATTATACATACACATAGGCGTGGTGCGGACAACACACTTGGTTGGAGGTGTAATTTCGTATATAAACA